GTCCCCCCCCCCCCCCCCCCCGCCCCGATTCTCTACTACCTCCGACAACAGTCTACCCACCGGGGCGATTGTACCGCTTGTGGCAATCGGTGGGGCGGAGGATGGCGTGTCGCCGCCCACGATGATCGTCTTGGAAGGCCTCAAGCTGGGTGAGCATCAGCCGGGGCTTCTTCTTTTGCCGTGGTCGCGACCGCTGCTGTAGCTGTGCCGTTCTTACATCCCCTGTTGTATTCTGATTGTTGATATGCCCCCCAATGTCTGACTGCGTGCTTTTGTGCGGTATGACTGCTGCACTCCCTTTTACGGTCGATTCATCTCCGCGCGGCATAACTTCTCCCCTTTACGCGTTCGATTCGTCTCCGCGCAGTCTGACTTCTGCCCCTCTCTACAGTATGCGTTTGAGTCATCCAGCGCGGCATGGCTTTAGCCCCTTGTACGTTCTAATCACCCGCGGTTTTAGATTCCACTAAGGTCTATCTTTGACGTCTTTCCCTGCCTCGCCCTTGTTGTGCCTTTGCGTGAGCTCTGGCTCTGCTACATACAGTTCTTGTGCTGGGTCCGCCCTCACACATTGGGCATGTAGTATATCGTGATATTTTGTCTGACCCCTCCCATACCAGTGCCGGTCAACCTGCGTACTCACCTCTCTTCGTTGACTGGCTTGGTTTCCTCTTGCATCAGGGCGAGCATTCCTCTTGCATCGGGCGAGTATTCATTACCCACTCGACACCCCTCTCAACCAATCAACCACCCTCGTGTTTCTCTCAAAACAGACCCATTACACCGCAGGCAGTGCCCCCCCCCCCCCAACCCCCCCAAACTTAATTCCCCCCCAAAAAAAAATGTCCTTTTTTTTTGAAAAGTGTGCCGCATTTTTTTCTGGAAAATTGGTTCTTCAGGGTGAAAGAAAACCTCCAAGGGGTTAAAACCGCCTTTGGCTTTTGTTTGGTAAAAAAAAAAAAAAAAAAAATAAAAAAAATGGAAAAATTAAAAAAAATGGGAAGGAAGGGGGGGGGCAAAGGAAAATCCAAAATGAAATTAACAAAAAAAAATTGGCAACTTTTATTAAAAAAAAACCTTGTAAAAAAGAAGGTAAAGGTTTTACGGTTTTAGGGTAAAGGGAAGGAACCCCCGGGATAATTTTTACCAAAAACTTTGGAAAAAAAAAAAAAAAAAAAAGGGGGGG